TAAACGATGAAGATGATGCTGTTAGTCTTGCTTCCAGAGCAGCCTGAAAGATTTGACAATAACTTAGATAGCTTTTGGAGCTGTGTAGTTTAAGTTCTCCACTACATGTATCTATATCAGGTACACATAAAATTTTATTTTTCTAATCTTTAAATATATATATTATAGTTTGCTTGCAGAAGACTTTATGTTTTGATTTAACAAATATTCCCTTCTCAACTTCATGCATGAAGTGATCCTGTTCCTTTCCTCCCAGTCTCTCTCTCTGATCACAGACATATCAATAGTTTTCTGACACATTTTAATGTTTCCTGCCCCAGCTGACTCTGCATTATTCTAGGGTTGAGAGCCACCCATCTCACTCTCTCTGGCCCTACTAGGTGGCAGTGATGTTATTACTTCTTTCCTTTGCTCTTCCCATACCTCCCTTCACAGCTATTAGCCCCCTTTTCTCTTGAACTGCCTAACTATGTTAACATAATGGCTCAACATTGAGCAGTTGTACTCCATGTCTACTCCATGTCAAGATTTGTGTCTGAAACACAGCTGGCAGAGCTCCACACTGCTGGTCTAATAAATGATGGTGCTTCTCCTTGCAGCCTTGCCTTGCTTATGTCCTTTGACAAACACAGCTGTAACAAAATTGGTCCTGCTTTGTCTTTTTCTAGTTAAATTGTAAACTCTAGAGCAGTCTCTCATGATGTGTGTTGGAGCAGAATCTGCCTTAATGCTTTGAGCAGCACCTCTTTTATCCATCTCTCTTTCATACAAGCATTTTTTAGGCAGGAACTGTAGGGTCTGACTTTGGATAAATTTGAATGTAAATATACATTGACTTTGCTTATATGTCAGGATCAGTATGTTGGCAAATTGGGTGTTACAAACAGTATCAAGCAGCCTTCTTCCAATAGACCTGCAGCCCTGTTTGACTGAGGACCCTGATCTCCACAATCCCTGGATTTTGTAATCTGAGCATATTTGTTACTGCACAAAATGTTTGGGTTGAAGAAGCTCTTTTAAATAACTTGCCTCATAGTATGTAAAGTAGTTTTAATAATGAGATTGAATCCTCCATCACTCAAAAATACAGAAGCCTTTCTTCTCTGGAGTAAAATACAATAAAGAAATTCTGGTGAATAAATTGACCTTCAAATGTGGCAGGCTTGGTAAACTGCACCTGGAAGGCTGAAGAGATAACTTGTATGTCATTGCTTAGGAAGAGTAGGGCTTGGTTGCTAATGGTATTCTGAATACTGAAATACACTCCCTAGTAGTGTGCAGGCTGTAAGTTTGATTCGGTTTTTATTTATTCTTGAGTTGGTGATTTTAAGTACTGTCTTCTCTGCACCATGGAACAAAGACACCATGAAATTGTGTCATGTATTAAATATGCTATTTTTTTTTCTTCTTGGGAGTAATTTTTACAGTTTGAGATACACATAGCAAAAACTGGGGTTAGGCAATTTAGAAGAAAGGGTTTGATACAAGATCCTGAAGGAACAGGTTTTCCTTCAAATGTACAAGAAAAGATCAGAATACTGAAGACTTTCATTCTCATTAGATCTATATCTGGCACATGAGTTGGCATAGCATTTGGCAGGATTAAAACTATTAAAGTGTTGCCAGCAAAGGGTGATCTTAGGATGAGTTTATGTCAGGAAAATGAAAGGGAAGACTGGACCAAAGATTTTTTTTTTATATATATTATTTTATTTTAATCAGTATGGGCTATTATTTGACTGTGCTGATAAACAGAAAAAAAAGTAAAACATAATAGGTTTTCCACCTGTCTAGATAGTTTATATATAGTTAGTGGCAGGGGGGGCCTTTGTTAGGTATGTTTATGGGAAA